TTTCTTTGATTTACTAAGTAGAAAGTTTTTCTTATAATAAAAATTCTTAGTTCATTTAAAAAAATAAGCGTGTAAATATTGCAATGCGAACGGAAAAGTTTTCGAGTAAGTGTTGTTCATTTTTTATTCCACTTAGAACTCAGACCATTTTATTGAATTTTTATATTTTATTAAAAGTTTGTATCAATTAAAACGTTGATCGTCCGTTATGCCGACCTTTGACTTTATGTTTTTTATATTCGGGACTGAATTGTTTTTGCATTAAATGGACAAATAAGTCCAGGAGTATATCGTACTGATATCGTTTTCTTTAAGTTTCCTCTTCACTTTAAGTAGCATTTAAGTTTAAGTGTTTTGATAACACACATAAGGTCATAAGAATCTAGTGGCTCCAGTTGATGAAGGAGATTTTATTTTGAAATACGATATTTGGATTGCACGCCAGACTTATTAATTCGAATAAGTGGTTATGAAATATCACAATCGTTAAAATAGTAGGCTTTTTAGAAAAAAACTTTGTTTTTTTCTCTTGCTTAGAGCAGCTATCGTATATTTAGTTCATAATCGCAAAGAATTCATTATAGCCATATTATAATGCTAAAATATTAACTATAAATATGGATTTATTTTATTAGTAGAAAATTTTGTAATTTTATCAATCATTATGCGCCTTATCAAATGACTAACTATTTAGGCACAGATTCAGTACATCATTTAGTGCAAGGTTATTGAAGATCTCTGTATATCTCTGTTAAATATTTTCCTATAAATCATTTGAATATTAAGTAACTTGAATAACGTTGTCTTTTAGTTCATACATAATTTTTATCAGAAATTTTTATTACTAAAAATATGTTTAAAAAGGATAGTAATTTTTTAATAATTTTATATATATGTATTCACCATTGTTGGTATTGTAAATAATTAATTTAAATTTGCTTCTTAACTTCGGTTTTGCTATACACTGTGGTTTCGGTTATATGTGTCGTCAAGCTAAAATTTTACAGCATCTGTAAATATATTCTTATATGGCTGGAAAGCTAAGACTTAAATTACACGACTTTATTCCATATACAGTCAAAGCTGCACACGCATTTGAGGTTTTAGCTAATTTTGCAGATTAGTGGAGTACCACAGCTTTACTTATTTGTTTTTTTGTTTTTGAATTTCATTAATACACTCATTTTAATTTTGTTGTTTTTGTGGAATTAACTTTCGTTTCTTTCTGTACACCTTGGCGTATGAGTGATATTTACTTTGAATTAGTAAATGTATACTAAAAAAATATTTATTTAATTATTTAATATAACATATTTTGTTATAAAAAATTTTTTCATAGACAATGAAGTATTTGGTGTACATATATATTTGGTGTATGTTTTGACTTATTGTTCTCACGATTTTGTTGACTTTTAACATTTAAATATGACTAAATGGTTTATTTTACTAACTACATAGTCGCGCATATGGTTTTGACATACGAGTGTGTCACATGTAATACAAAATATGCCAGATACAGAGACATGACAGATACACTAACATAGAATAAAACAAAATCAGTCGTATTGAAATGCTGTTACAAATTTCATGTTAGGTTAGCAATAAAATTCAGTCGAAGATAACAATTTTATGCCGACATTTATTCCATTTACAGATTATTTACACGCATGAGTGTTTATGGCGACCGTCGATACCTTTAATCAGAGTTGCGGTTAAATCATCATGTCACCTGGTCTATTTGGCTTTGATATCTGTTTGTTCTTTTGATACTTTTTTTGATGCAACATTAAATGCGTGAAAGTAACAAGTACCGAACAAAATTGAATTGTGTTATTTATTACTAAATAACATAAATAACATAACATACTCGTAATGATTGATACATGTATCAGAGAAAATATTTATTTTCTAACATATGAAAACCAGTACAGCAGTATAATGAGTATCTACTCGTTTTGTTATATACTAAAATCTTTAAGATTAATGAAAATTTTTTATATATATAAAAAATAAATTAATTGATTGGTTGATTCAAGTTTTTATTAAACCCAAATATACTTTGGGTGAACATAAATATTAAACCCATGGAGTTTTTGGGATATTCTATAGCATTATGTTTTGAAAAGTATATATATTGCTGTTCAATATTGGATTGATTACCTCTGTCATAAGCCAAAGTGTAGATTCAATGATTTGCTTGTACATTCGCAATTTGTTTTTGCTATCCAGTTTCTAACTGTGATATTAAGATATCAAGAATAGGCGGGTTAGCTTGTTAATTTTTACAGTCTTGTCTCTCTTTGTGTTGTAATAATTATTTTTTAATTGTTAAGATTTTTGAATGATTTTGGAGTTATAAAAAGTCTAAAAGTTGTTTGGATTAAGTTGAACTTTTCACTTTCAGAAATAATTTTTTGTATATATTTAAGGGCACATGGAATATCTATGTCATATTGCTCATTATTTTATCATTGTATAAAATACAAGTTTTCTTTAGAAATGATAGTTAATGTCTAAAGCACTTTTACTTAATAATGTCTGTGATTTCTTGGATAACCTACTGTAAATAGAACTCCGTTGGACTCTGATAATAAGTCATTCAGATGAGTTTATAGAAGTATGACTTGAAGCTCAACATAACAGCCTGTCGAAATATATTTTGCATATCTAGTAATCATTAATACAAGTATAAACAAGAATATATGACACTTACCAGAATATTGATAATGCTATGAAGAAACCGTTGGAAATCACATAAAATACACATGTCTTGATATATAATAGTTTGAATAAAAATATCGCTTTGGCAATTTTTGATTTTTTGTCTTTCGGACTGTCCGTCCGAGTAGTATCTTCTTCTATTGTGTATAGTTAGTTGTTTTATTTTGCACATAAAATCAAACTTTATTTTAGTTGTCTATAATTAATAAAAATTAAACTCCTGATCACAACTCCTGATTTGATTACATAAATCATTTCAGTATTTTTTACTATGAAACAAACAAATTAACAAATTAAATTTTGCATTTCTAGGAGATCTTTTCCAGCTTTTCTTTGTCTCAACATTCATATATTTAAATGTTTTAATGAAAATTCTCGCAGGATGTGCAGACAACCACAAAACACAGTAGGTGGAAATTATGAATATTTTACTCATGAATTTGAACTTTTTCTTTAACGAAGAGTACGTTGAACTTACCAAATTCAGCCATTTTCGGTTGGAATGCCTTCCAGCATGTGAATTTCATTAAAACCACACTGAAAATTGGTTCCTTTAAGCGATTTCTTCAAGCCTTAATAATTTCTGTGTTTAGAACATATTTGCATAAGATCGCAATTGAAACATATGTGTCGTGACATTTTGCCAAAATGAAAATTTAATAAAATATTATTCCAGAAAGAAAAAATTCAGATAGATTTAAATTAATGCAGAAATAGATGTGTGTTTTCTTCATGGTTGATAAAAAATATTGCAAAAAATTTTCTTTGAATTTACCATTACAGATATTCTATCCCAACGTGTCTAAAGAAATTGTGATAAATGGCTTACAAGGAGTCCATTTGGTGAAGGCACGTAGAGATGACTGTCTTAAATTGGTTTAATATACGACAAATTTTTTGTCAGTTTAAATTATGGTCTTGGCTTGACTTTCTAAAAAAAAACTTCCATTTTAAAATTTTAATTTATTTTCTATATATAAATGTGTTCGTATATGTGTGTAACTTTGAAGTCGAAACTCAGATAACTTTTTTGTTGGCAGCGTGTGGAAAAATATATGTGATTTTAATACAAACTTTAAATTTATTCTTTGTGAAATTGGATGAATTTTATAGATTTTGTAAAAAAAATAAAAAATTGCTAACTGAACGTACTGAATCAAAATTGTCAACAACATTCTTAATTACGTTAGCTACTAATTAACTTTAGATAATTAGATAGATTTAGATAGATTCTAACATGACACTGTGTTTTATAGAGTTCAATTCCTTTTCTTAATAACATATAAATTTTATTATCTCCAAGCAGCACTTATTGAGGGTTATATATAGTGAGAAAAATTCTAATAGTGAAGAGAATATTATTAGTTTGGTACTGTAATGTTTGCTCTACTCTTGAAGTTCATTTCTTGACTAAGTTGCTATACAGTATAACCTCGCTTTGAGGTAATAAATTACTGTGTAGTTTAGTAAGGCCAATGACATTGTTGTTGTTGTTGTTATTATTGTCAGTAATAGGATTGCTGTCACGGTTATGAAACTAATCTGGACACATGTCCTACATTAATCTTCTTTTTGCTGGGAGTGTTGCTATTTTGAATTATCATGCCACCACAGCTGCAAGTGAATAGTTACTTTGATGTATGTATTTATACTCACTGCTAAAATGAAATAAAGAAGGAAATTGCAAATTTTTGGATGCTTTTTCGAAAATGTTAAAGTTGAATTTTGGTATGACAGGTTGCAGGTACACGAGTATTTATGCAGATAAAGAAGAATGTATCTTTGTACAAAAATAACTAAAAAAATATGGTTTCAAAATATATAAAAATTTTTGTAGAAAACTTTATGAATAATAATAAATTACTGAAATTATAATTGGCTCTGAGCATATAAACATATATTTAATATGTACAAACGTTTGTTAAGACGTTTCTTATAAAGTATGAAATAATTTATTTAAAGAAAATGAAGTATATTAGAAGAGAATATTTCAAATTTTCAACGAAAATGCAATGAAATCAACCAAATATTGTTATTATTATTAATTATTATTTTAATTAATTTAATACTTTCTAAACAATGCTTTAAATTTACTTTCAAAAATAATCTTAAAAGAGACTAATTACTAATTAACATTCAATACACAAGCAATCTTATTAGTGACACTCAAATATTATTATCAATTCGATTTTCTCTTGTAATTAAGTTTTAAATCAAATAAAGTAATGTTTCTGTGTTTGTCCTAATTATTTCAGCAACATTATCCTGTGAAAATTAGCATACAAATTATTCATGAGGCTTGCAAAAAGGAATTCGTGTAGGAGTCGTGTTGAATGACAGCAATGGCCGCAAACGTGTCTGAGTCGATTTATTGTGGCTCTGGTGTGGACAATTTTCACACGAGGTAAGTACATCAAACCAACAGTTTTTCACGTTTATTTCAGCATCAATTAAGGGGGTGTGAAATGGAAATTACTACTATTATTAGAGGTCACAAAAGGCGAGGAATGCAATTTGGTTATATTAAAATTTCTTAATGCATTTGAATTGCATCAGCTATTGTCCCTTGATAATGGCAGCAATATGCATTTCTAATCTCAATCTTTACTTCATAAATTTAAGAAGTCACTGTGATTTCATATTTTGTAAAGTAATTCATTAATGTGAACTAATGAAATAAGGACCTTTATTTTCAAGAGAGTTTCGTAAAATGAATTTTCAATAATGTTGATATGTATTTTTTGTTTATTTTTGACTCTGGTTACGTTAATTGTGATGAAATAGACGATTTTTTTAATAGAAACTATTATTTCAATAGAGAGATTTTCGAGTAGTAGTAAATAATAACAACAAAATTTAATTATTTTTATTCATTTTTATGTGATCATATAGGTTTTTTCAAATATTGTAAAATACCCTTCAACAATGGTCTTATATTTTTTTTTAGTTTTATTTAAGAAGTTCTAAGTGTTCTTACTCATATTTATTTTCATTTTACATTAAAACATCCCTTAAAATTTTTTTTTTGAATTTTGGGTATCATTGTTTGTTCAGAGGCAATTTTTTTTTAAGAGTGAATAACTTTAAAGGGTTACGACATTCACATTATTGTTCCTAATTGAAAGAGACCTTTGCTTAGAACTTATGTATTCCTTAAGCATACTACGAAAAGGATTACAGACAAGTTTGTTGGTTTAATATCATTAATGCCGAGTCATTAATGTCGACATTTAACAAGAAATTGTACTTTACGATAACTACTTTCCAACTTATTCACTCGTCTTCGTTTATTAAGTTTAAACAGAATACTTTTAAAATTTGCAATTTATATTATTATAGTGTATGTAAAATGCTTATCACTAGTGATAAAATATGTGGAAGACAAATCATGTTAACTAAGGATTTTTTAATACTTATGTATTAAATATATATATGGATGAATGGATGCAAAAATGTCTAAATAGATTTGCTTAACTTTTAATAATAGAAGATATATATACCATGTGAGCTGGTATCCTTTTTTAAAACGAATACTAATAAATTGTGGTTTTGTAACTCATTTCCGTGCTATCTTGTTAGCATTCATGCTGGCCAGTAAAACGCAATAAATTAAGTATTTATGCTCACAAACACACAAGTGTTAAATATTTAGTTACCAGATAAATAAGTAGTAGGCCTTATTCCACAAATATATTAATTAAAGTTACTTTTACTCCCGGAACATATGAAATTGTTGCACGCTTTTGTATGGAAGATAATTTGAACACGCATCGTTTCTTTCCTATCTAGCACTTATTTTGCGTCCAGTGCCTTGCAGTGTAGTGTAAATGGGAATAGTAAATTTCTGTGCAGGCCTAATGTCCTCATTTTTATGTTATTACGAAAATGTATGGTAGCTTAATGTAATTTACTTGTTTTATGTCTATGAGCTCATGATTTAATTACAAACACAGCAGAAAGTATATTTCGAATACTAACAGTAAGGCTTTCATAGTATAGTTTCATAGTATTTAAATGACGAGTAATTCTAGGAAAGGAAGAAACAATTTTATTAAATGAAATCTCAACAAAATACTTATAATATATGCATTAAATTATTTCAAAGAAAATGTACATTGCAATTATTTTATTTTACAGCTACAAACACTGGCATGGTTATGTTTCCTTAGTGGTTTGTATACTAGGCACAATTGCCAATACACTGAATATTATTGTGTTATCGGGACGTGATATGCGCTCACCTACAAACGCCATACTTACAGGCCTAGCAGTAGCCGATCTGGCAGTCATGATTGAGTACATGCCTTATACAATACATGATTATATATTAGGCGATCGTTTGCCACGTGAGCAACAAGTTAGTTTCGCTTGGGCGTGTTTCGTCAAATTTCATTCAATCTTTGCACAAGTCTTGCATACTATTTCAATCTGGCTCACAGTCACCTTGGCTGTCTGGCGTTATATAGCTGTCGGTTATCCGCAGAAAAATCGCGTATGGTGCGGCATGCGCACCACACTAATAACAATTATAACAGCATACATCGTTTGCCTGTTGGTGGTGTCACCGTCATTATACATAATAACCGCCATAGCTGAATTTCTCGAAAAGTTAGATATACATGGCAAAACAATCGATTCAATACCGCTGAGCCAATATGTGATAGACTTTAAAGCAGAGATGGCAAACAAAACAAAATCGGAAGCTGTAATCGCTGCCAGCACAGCATCCACGGGCAACGTTAGTAAGCTATTAATGATTACAGATACCAACATTATAACAACTGCTTCAGATATTATAAGCACAACAACTACAGCGACTTTAGCTGCTATTTCCGATATGAGCACTACAATTGGGGCAGCGACTACAACAGAAACCTCTCCAACTAGTGCAGTATACAGAGAAGTAATCGTTTATCGCCTGTTTCACAGTGATTTGGCTTTACGAAATAAATGGGTGCTAAATGCTACATTTCTTATATATAGCGTGCTAATTAAATTGATACCCTGTATAGCATTGACTATTTTCTCAGTGCGTTTAATTGCCGCCCTTTTGGAGGCAAAACGACGACGGAAGAAGTTGACTAGCAATTCTGCAAATGGTATGAAACCGATTGTTAATGGCAAAACAGTGGAACGACCACGTAAAAACAGCAGAACTCTGGAGAAGGAGAAGCAAACTGATCGTACCACACGTATGTTGTTGGCTGTATTACTGCTATTTTTGATCACTGAGTTTCCGCAGGGTATAATGGGATTATTAAACACAGTACTAGGTGATCAATTTTATTCGGAATGCTATCTTAAACTAAGTGAGTAATACTTTCATAATATTGTATATTTATTTTAATAATCTTTTTCTAAAGGACCTTTTTCATATTATTTTTATGTCATATCGTCAAATAAAATGTATGTCATCTGATTAAAAACATTCAGTTATTTTTCTTAATATTAGAAACATTTTGCAGTGATTAATTTTTTGCGATAAAGGAGTAATATTTGTAGGTCTGTATACTTTCTTTACTTTGTTCTGATTACTTACAATGGCTGTCTTGTTAAGCTGTTAATTATAAAAACAACAAGTTATTGCAGTCTAGTAATTAAGTCCAATTTGTTGTCCATCCATTACAAGAAGCAAATGTTGCCGCATTAAATTAATGAGTCCTTTCAATGGCAACGGCAGTTATTTGCCATTTAATGCCGAGCATTTGTTGACTGTTGGCACTCGGTGGGGAAAATTGTTATAAGTTCATTAAAATGTATGCCATAATATTACTTTTTCAGTGTTTGTTTAATTCCTATACTGGCCATTGATAATTTTATTAAAAATGCCCTTTCATTGTTGAAATCAACAGCTTGTGCTGAGTTAAACAAACATAAAAATTTCTTACAGAATCACATTTAACAATTAATTTTAATTTAATTTAATGTAATTTAATAAATTACATATGGATATACATATGTCACAGAATAATTAAAAATAATCCACCAAAAATGATTATATTTCCTTAAATTGCGTTGGTATGTAAGCCTGACTTTTACTGCTGAATGCAATATGAGATTTCCATATTAAATTATTCAGCAAATTGCTCTTGTTTATAGTACTTATTTAAGTTACGAAAATATTTCTTTTTAACTTCATACAGCAATAAGCATTATTAAATAATTCTTATAATATTTTATATAAAAATGCTCAAATATTTGTCCATCCAAAAGGCGCGTTCTTTTGCATATTTAATTTAACGTTGCTCATACGCACCGTGAAACGTTTCTGGAAGGCAATTTTGCATAAGATATGTTTAAATTTACTGAGGCTTCTGTTGTTTAAAATAATTTTTCATATTTTTAAAACGTGTTTAAAATTTAAATAATTGAAGTAAGATTTCGAAATAAACATTTAAGCTGTACGTGATTCACCTTTGCATGCCAATGAAGGGAAAAGTAATTTTCCACGAACAATTGAGAATAAAAATTCATAAATTGTTTGCATTGTTGAAAAATTTGTAAAACAAACAGAGCGGTAATTTAAGAGCGGACTTTATTCAGTACGATAAAAGTCCACAGAATGCAATTTATATTTTTGAAGTAAAGTATAAAAATCTGTGTTGAAAATATTTAAATTTCTATAACAAAGCCTCTTATCAAAAATTTAAACTTAGTTTATGTTCATAAGACAAGTCTCCAACCAACAGCATTGTATAAGTTATTTGATAGATTAATTAATTTAATTTAATTTAGAATCAAATTTTTTAACATTTATCGTTCATTCTATTTAATAAATTGCAATTTCTGTCTGAATAAGAGTGTGCCTTATAAGTTGTGTTAATAGTAAATAAAGGCACTTACCTTACAAGTTAATACAAGTTAATAAAAGGTTTTCTTAGGTTGGTAAAAAAGAGCCCTAAGATATTAGATTTTCTACTGGATAACGATAGGCACTGACACATGAGATGGAGTATTGTTTCCTCATCTTTAGAATCACAACTACTGTAAAAGATATAATAGTATAGGGACAGTTTCATAGTTTTCTTAACTATTATGCAGTGATACGTCAGCATCGATACCGTAGTGCTGTGCAGGTCACACCTTGGTTGAAGTATCTAACTGGCACGTTTTATGTCCAGTTTATACCTGGTCAGCCTAGAGATCTGTAAACAGGATTCATCTATCCAGGTTTGGTTGGCTATGTTCAACTATTTTTGTTTCGTCGTATATCAGAAGCCAGAGTGATTACCTTGGCAAGCTCGTTCGATATATGAGTTGGACACTGACATACCCAGCTAACTCATTGATAGAAGTTAGGCATTCTTGAATTAGCTATTCATACTATTTTTACGGAAAATTTCAATATGGAAAATATAGATCTTGTCTTTGGAAAAAACAATTTTTAATTATTCGTAAACTAGTGCTATTTACTAGGATTATACTGGGATTTACTAAATTATATAAATCAAAGATCTTTCCTTTCATGTTTATAATATATTCTATGTACTTAACTATACTACACCACGTAGTATGTAAATATATGTCCTCTTTACTGCATCACAAGACATTTCTAATTCAAGAGAATTCGTTAATTATTTCAATTAATTATTTATCTTTTTAGTTAGAGTGCTATCTATCATACAAAATATTGCTGGCTATCAAGCCAACATAGATCAATATATAAACTGTCCCTAATAAAGACTTTTAATTCCGAATAGCGTTTTGTATTTGTTTTCATAGAAAAATACCAAATTTCATGTACTCTAATGATAATTAGTTGATATCATGTTTGAAATCCACATGCAAAATAAGAAATTATGAAAAGAGAGTTTAATGTTAAATAATTAATGAAAAGTAATAAATCAGCAATGAAAATAGAAAAGCTGAAATTTCGCTATTGATTGCAATATTTATCATTGATAATTAATTTTTCCAGCAATATAAGAATTGCAAGAAACAATTAAGTGCTTATCTTCTAATTAAATTATTCTCAATAAAATCAATCGTTATTGTTTAAAAAAATTATTCAATGTGGCTTTATTTAAGTATTTTATGGCTTCCTTTCATCTTGCAGGTGACCTGATGGATATTCTGGCGCTCATCAATTCAAGCATCAATTTCATACTTTACTGCTCGATGAGCAAGCAATTTCGAACGACATTTACGTTACTGTTTCGTCCTAAATTCCTTGATAAGTGGTTGCCAGTGGCGCAAGATGAAGATGGCGTTGGCGGTCGAGGAGGTCGTGTGCATGCTGATATGGCCAGCAAAAGTGCAGCTGTAGAGCAGCAATATATGGTGACACAAGTAACGAATGTGTAGCAGAGGAGTCAACGTTGCTATTCAGCGCCCGAAGAGACCAGCGTCGTTGTCGGTGGAGTTTGTGGCTTTATAGGTAGCTGCAAAAGCACTGGCACTGGCAATGGTAGTGGCAGTGGCGCTATACAACGGCAATGTCAAGGACGTGTTAGTAGTACGAATAGCAACAGTTATAGTTTGTTAAGTTGTATTTTATGTAATCTTAAGCGAAAGTCGAGAAAACAACAACAGCCACAGCTGCAACAACAACAACAGCCACATCAACAACAACAACAACAACAGTTGCCATTTCAAAGTGTTGTCGTTGTGGTTGGTGAGAGTGTAGACCATCAGCTGCAGCAACAATTAGAACAACATACAATACATAACACTGGTAGCAGCAACGTGCCAGTGGGTGTTCATGTGGGTGATAATGTGGTCGATGCACCATCCTTTCTGTAATGCACGCAAAGAGTTGACAATTACTTGTAGTCTGTCCTGTGACTCAAGGGTTTAAGTACTTTAAAGGATTTAGCTTTTGATATAACAATTTTAATTTAATGTGAATTTTATTAGAAATTAATTTGGTTACAGATATTTAATTAAATCTTAAGTGGTTCGATGTGTTTTCTCTTTCAATTAAGTGCGGCTCGTCGTTAGGATAAACAGAAAATTCAAGTATTGAAATTATTTGAGATTTAAAAATTAAATTTAAAAACTGGTGCTATGTTTCCTTTTATATGTAAAAGTACGAATTCTTTATATAAGATACATTTTCATAATTGTAATATTAATTAGTAAAACTAAAATATTAAAAAGTATGAATATTATAAATATATATTTGAGTGTGTTGCTTTACTATGAGTACGAAAACTATAAGAAACTTTAGTTAACTTAAGATGCGTCTACAAGAAGTTTAATTGGTTATGAAACATGTGAAATGAAGTAATATTTTATGCTAAAATTTTACATATATATAAAGTAATAATTCATTTAAATTATTATCAATGTAAATAAAATAATTTCAAGAAATAAAGTACACTATTTAATAGCATTTGTTGTTGCTGCAGCTCAAAGGAATAAATTGATTTCTAATTATACATTAAGACCGAAAAGTTTTCGGAAATTCTCATTTAAAATTCGCGCGCTGTATATTTTTCGATATTTTAAGTTTATGTAGTTTGGCAGCACTGTCCTTAATTACTATGCCAAAAATGAGCGCGATCTGTCAGACAGTTCGTTTACGGCAGCTGTTGAAACCAGTTCACCTCAGTAGGGCGTTGCGAAAAAAACAATGGAAAAAAATATTGAACAAAGAGTTTGCATCAAATTTTGTGTTTCGAACGAAATTTCGTGTGCAGAATCGTTGCGAATGCTACAAAAGGCTTATGGGGAATCAGTTTTATCGAAAACTCAAGTTTATGAGTGGTACAAAGCCTTCCAGGACGGTCGTACGACCGTCGAAGACATTTCGCAACGCACTACTGAGGTGAACTGGTTTCAACAGCTGCCGTAAACGAACTGTCTGACAGATCGAGCTCATTTTTGGCATAGTAATTAAGGACAGTGCTGCCAAACTACATAAACTTAAAATATCGAAAAATATACAGCGCGCGAATTTTAAATGAGAATTTCCGAAAACTTTTCAGTCTTAATGTAAGTACAATATTAGTATAGTGATTCTGCTCAATATTTAACTTTATTTAATTAAAATGAATAAATAATATCCTAAATACTTGATTTTATGATATACAAATCTGTAAAGTTCGATTAAAATAATGTGTTTTTAAATAATATATGTACTTACTATATAAAATGTTACAAATATAGTAATGTGGTAAGTTATTGAAGCAAAATTATTACTAAAACCTTAAATTATCAAAGAAAATAATTGTGGTAGGGGTAAGTGTTGTGAAATCAATTCTAAAAGTTTTAAATTTAATTATTAAAAAATAATAAGTTTTTTGAAATTGTGAGAAATGATTATATAATATACTTCTGAATATATTTTTATTAAGATTTTAATATAAAATTTGCAAATTTGAAGTTCATTAATTTAATAAAATAATTGTGTTGATAAGTGGACTTCAAATTCCTTTAATTCAAAAATGTTTATTATTTATTTTACTCAAATTAGTATTTGTTATATTCTTCTGGAGTAATACATTATAAAACAAGAGCTTATCACTTTCTATATTTTAATAATGTTGCGGTTTTTTTCCACTGCGATGTAGTGATCTGTTTTGCTTCTTTCATAGTTTCTTTCACATTTCTCTAAGTCCGCTTTGCCCGATAAATTGTGGTATTGAATCCATTTCACCGAGTTTGGTTATGCATCCGATATAGGATAGTCACTTAAGCATTTCTTTTGCTTATGCAGCGGTATTAGACAGACAGAGACGTGCTTTGAGCTCTCATTTTCATCCCTACAAAACCTATATATTCCCCTAGACTTAACATAGTACCCAGTTTTGTATAGAGATAATTCAATCATGAGATTCCAGTCGGAAATCCTGTAATGATTTTTGAATTGTTTTTGTTTAGTTTCATACATTCGTTAAACATTTCAGTTTGAAAGTCCTTATGAAGAACTTTATTTGTGAAAGCCCTTGTAGATGTCTTAGTACAGCATTTCTGGTTTTTCTTCCTTTATTCAAATGAGTGAAGAGAAATATCATTCTGGATTGGAATCATATTCCAATATGATTCTGGATTCTTTATATAAAAATTTTAAAAAATTAAGGGACAAGAATAGAATATGAAAACAATGTAGCACACAGATTTAATATCGTGTAATATCCCGGTTTTTCTATATATTGCTGTCATTGTCTCATTTACTACCTAATCATACGCTAATCAAGAATCAGTGTTTTGTTTTTAGTACTACTATATAGCAAGTTAGTAATATATCTAAAGGTAAATTCAAAGTTTTGATTAATATTTGTTTCTTAATAATTAATTTTTTTTTGAGTATTTTCTTGAATATCAACTATTAATTCGAAAACTATTCTACCTATAAACGTAGCAAACTTAATTTTGCTAAATAACTAAAACATTTAAAATGAAATCATTTCATATTCCACTAATGCATAAACATATATACATATATACGTTAAAATTACTTTAGTAAATAAAAATATGATATACATTTTTCCCCTTTTTTGTTTCGATATAAAAATCCTTTTGGAAATAATAACCTTCAGTTATCCTCTTAATTATATTTTAAATTGTTTACTTACAAGAACTACTTTAATAGATTGATTTTAACAAATTATTTTTTAGTTGGATATATGCAAACAGATCAAAGCCATACTAATTAGCCTTAATGATGAAAGGTGTGCTTTTTTTTCTTAATGCAAGTCCTGACAGTTTTCTCATTCTCTCGCTTTAATTTGGTTCTATTTTCCAGTGGGTAATACCAATCTTACTTTAATCCATATTCACACTATATATCGCTATCTTCTCATGTTCCTTGATAAGTTACTAAGAGAATTTTTACACTGCGACCTGTGTCCGCTAAGTTTTGTAATAAAGTCAGAAAATTTTATTCTCTGCTTTATCACATATTCAATTATGGTATCTCCATTAATCAATTAAAACAGCCCAGTGTGTACATCCATATATTTTATAATATACTTTAAGTCCGTTTAATTTTGAATTTCCCTATAAAAGACACGAACGTCAGAATAATATTTCATATGAAAGTGCATTTATGTGCAGTGACTTTTGTTCCAGGACACTTAATGTAAAAATTGGTGCAAAGGGCAACCACTAAAAATTTAATTAAAGAGATAAAAAATGAACTGAACTGAATTAACAAACTATAATTTGTATTCTTGCATTTCTTTGACCCACTTGCAAATTTAATGGTCACTTTTACATGGAATGTCGTAAATTGAATAAAAAGGAAGAGAAAGCGAAACATTTCATTTACTATTATGTTTGGTTAATGTGCCATGTGCATGTCCTTCGTCACAGGCATTAGTAACGGACAAGCTTAACCTACTATTGAGATTAAAAACTTCAGATTAAAATACATGAAAAATAGGAATAAAACTTTGCTGGGAATTTGGCGGTTATGGAGCAGGTGGACAAATGGTTATTGGATGGCTTAGTTAGATAGTGTTTAAGTTAAAAATTTCACTGGCGGATACACACATCCACACATACACACAATCAGACAAATCATAAAGAATATGAAACATTAAACAGTGAACGGTGAACAAAAATTATGTGAAAAGTTGGAAAAGCTACTAGCTTTTTAAGTGAACCCAAAGAAAATATTTCGGAACAGGAAAAACAAACAGAAAAACAAATATTTTTGGTGCAGAACGGCATTTTAAGGATGTTGGCACACAAAAATACACAAAAAGCGCAATGAAGTTTCAGGATTTACTTTAAAGTTAAATGGCAGTTAAAAACCACATTTGTTCACATTTTAGTTCTGTAAAAATATTTTCGTATATAGTACATCCTTTCTGGATTTAAAATATTTTATTTTTGTTTTCAACCGAAGTTTGTAGAAGTTCACTTGGTTACATTACCAAAAGGCTAAGCCGACACAGATGTTGAAAGGAAGGCAGTGCTTAAGAACTTGCCATGCATAAAACACTTGTAAAATTCACAAAAAATTATATAAAATTAAATTAATTTATTATGCTAAGAATAGAGTGAAGATTTTTTGTACATAAGCAAAAGTTTGTAAATACCTCAATTAGATTTAAAACTTTAAAGTAAATTTATTCACTAAAGCTGAAAATAAAAATTAACTTAATGGCAACGAAATTTATAAAAATTAACTGCATATGAAATATATTTGATTATAATTTTTTTGAAAATATATTTAATATATTAAAAAATAGTATATAATAGTATTGTATTGTATATAAGTATTAATTTAAACGTATTAAAAAATTTTTTTTTAAAATATTTGAAATATTTGAAGATACATGAGCCCCACAAATATTTTAAATTATTTTAATTAAAAATTTATATTAATTATTTGCAATGTAAAATACTATGTATATGTTTATAATCTTAAAATACTTAAAAATACTTTAAACATTATTAAATACAAAAAAAAAATATGAGAAATTTCTTTCATTGAACGTTTATCCTAAAGCATACAATATAAATAATAAACTTTTTTATCGTGAATATATATTATATATATATATATATTTTTTTTTTTTTTTGTTAAAGGAATGAAATTTATGTGTATAAAAAATTAAATTCAATGTTAAATTATATATATTAATATAAATTTGTTATATAAACTATTGATTAAATAAAGTAGTTGCATCTGTCGACTTGAAAGAATGAGTGATTTATGAATGTGAAATTTATATATAATTATTAACAAATTTTAATACAATAAACTAATTGCTTAATTTTTTAAATTTACAATAATTTTTGAAAAAATTATAATTGAAGCTAAATAGTTATTAAAATTATAGCTATGTTTAGACGAAGCGTGTTACACAAAATATATATTTAATTAAAGGATAAGAGTAGTTTTATATTCGAGTTATATATATTAAAAAATTCTATGTTGATGGTTTGATAATTACAAAATATAAATTTCATTAAAGTAAAATAGCTTATAAATTATTATTGATTGTAAATGAGTGCTGATTAAAATTAAAATAATATTTTTATAGTCCAATTAAATGAATTAATAAATAATCTTATCATACAA